AGAGGTAACCCTAAAATCTTTTAAGGATTAGATACAAGCTCTCAAATACTTTTGACATTTTTGGCCTTCAGAACAGAGTATGTTGCTAACAGGCCCAAGGATATTTTGACTTTTAGCCAAGAAACTGGCTACTTTTCTTTGGGGTCTTTTTACCCTAACTGCCTAGCCAATTCCTACCTCCTATTCTTATCACACCATCCTCTGAAGGGTTTACCCGAATTGCCAATAGGGAATATGGACGCAGACCACTCTGGCTTCTTCCATGCTGAACAGGGACGCAGGGTGAGGCATATGGAGTACTCCTTCAGTGGGTCTATCTAAAAGACTCTCAAATTGCATAACTCTTATCTCTAAGAGGAAAATAAAGTCCTTGGATCATGAATAGGAGATGTGAAGAAGTAAAGGCAAGAGTAATTAGCATTCTAATTCTAGACAGGGAACTAGAAAAAAAGTCAGAGCAGGGCAATTTTCAAATGTTCATATAAGAGTCTATTGAAATTTCTTGACAAGGGCTTCCACATTCTGTAAACAATACAGTATAATTCCTCTTCAAATAGAATTGATTTTGTGGTCAGTATTACAAATAAGTTAACGTATACAGGATGACTTAAAGCATATAGGGATGTGTGTAGGTTAAGTGCATGCTTTGCAATATTTATTGTACTTATTCATTTGTCTCTCTGTGTGTGTGTGTGTGTAAGTGCATGCATGTGTGCACATGCCTACAAGTGCTATGATGCATATAAGGAGGTGAGAGGACAACTTTTAGGAGTCATTTCTCTCCTTTTACCATATGTTCCCAAAGAATGAACTCAGTTGCTCATATTTGGCAAGTACCTTTAGCTGCTGAATCATCTCACAGGCCCATTTTGCAATTTTATGTAAGAGACTTAAGCACCCCCAGGTTTAGTTCTCAAGCCAGTCTCTAGCAGATACTGAAGTTCAACTACATATACTATCTATCTGTGACTACCTACAGTTTTAAACAAAGAATTGTATTTGCTCAATATTAGAGTGTTTTAACCTTAAAATGTCAGGTTCAGCTGTTAAAAGCACTAGCTGCTCTTGCAGAAGACCTGTGTTCATTTCCCAACATCTACATGGTGGTTAACAACTGTCTGCAACTCCAGTTCCAGAGGATCCTTTGCCCTCTTCTGGCCTCCACGGGCACTACACAGCATGAACAGCACTTACATACAGGCAGGCAAAACATTCATACAAATAAGATAAAAATAAAATAAAAAGAATTTTTAAAACTTTAAGACTTCACCCTCATTCATAAACACTGGCACCAAGCAGTTGTACAGTTTCCTACACACTACTGCAGTAACAGGCTTCTGTTTGATTCACACGGTAGTTTGTGAACTACCTGAAAATAAACCTAGAGTTCCTCATCCCAGGTATATTCCTTCTATCACCAAAGGGGTAGGGCCAGGAAAGTGTGGATGACTCTGAGAAGGCCATTAAAATGAAAGGGGTGGAGAACAAGTCACAGTCCTGGGGATAAAGGTAGAGGCCATTTGCACCCACAAAGAAACCATCCTCTGGCTAACTCTAACATCAGGCTGTGGAAGGCTTTAGGGAAACTCTCTGATACCAAACCCACACTTAAAACCCTGGATCTTGTTTTCTTGTCATTCAAATGTAAAACTTTCTCTTACTAAAAAGCAGGAAAATCCACATCTTATTATAAGTATGTATTGAGTTTCTACAGAACTTAAATCCACTAAACAAGATTGCTTAACGGTTTTACCCCAAGGCTAGTTTGGAGTGAAGCAAGAACAAAAGCTACGATTTCTGACTAAGAAAAGCAACTAACTTCATAGCTTTGGCCCTGAGCTAGGCTCACTGTTTCTTAAAGGAGGACCACTTCAGCACTCTGAGCTGGTAACAAGGGTATTCCTGGCAGGAATGAAGATCTTTTTAAAAGACACTTGTGCTCCTCCCTTTGGATAAAAGACTATTGAGACATGGACTCCAAAAATTGGAATTTCCCTAGGAATCTCACACTGGGAGAAGGAAGAGACTTAAGCCTGGTGCCAAACAGAGGGGGTGCTTGCCTTCTTGAGGGAGATTCACACAGTTCTAACACCTTGTCAGACCACCTTACAGGAGAGTCTGAGGAGAATCTGGAGCAGAATCAGTGATGATGAAAGGGACTGTATCTTGACCAGGACTGCTTAGCTGTATGTGCATCTTGCCTTCTACTTAAACCTAAGCAGTTATGTCAGGACCCTGAAGACTGACTGGGGGCAGGGGTGTAGAGGAAAAGTGTCCTTGGACCCCTTTATTCTTCTTTCCAATGTAGCCATGTTAAATAAATCTTTTCCTGATTTTCCCTAATGGTCTCTTAAAGATGAGTGGCCCAGCATAGCTTGTTTGGGTTGCCAGGGTTCAGACTACGACCCTAATAACTTTGGTTACTTTTCTTGGGAATCCCTAGGTCACATTGCATGAGGCTGGGCACTTTGATTGCTCGTGATAGAAATAGTACATTTTGTTCTCAGCTCCTGCTTTTTCCCATATCCTATGAGACCTCACCACCCTCTCTTTTCTCTGTGCCCTTCATCTTAATAAATGTTCCTCTGGCCAGGCATGGTGGCTCATGTCTATAATATCAGAGCTTGGAAGGTAGAGGAAAAACGATCATGAGTTCAAGGCCACTCTGGGCTACACAGCAAGAACACAGAATAATAGGACTGAGGAGATGGCTCAGTCAGTAAAGTACTTGCCTTGCAAGCCTGAGGACCTGAGTTTTATCCCCAGAACCCATGTAAAAAAGCCAAGCATGGTACTACACACTTGTAATCCCAGTGCTAGAGAAATGGAGACAGATCGGTCTCTGGGGCCTTCCTGGCCAGCCAGCCTAACCAAATGAATGGGTTCTAGATTAGTAAGAGAGACCTTGTCTCAAAAACGAACAAAGTGAATGGTGTCCTGAGGAACAACACTCGAGGCTGACCTCTAGCCTCCACATGCAACACACACACATGCAAATATACACAAACATGTACACACATATACATGCACAAACACAAAAGAAAACAATGAGAACATCAAGCATTTTACTCTTGATAGTATCTTCAACCTTGAAAGAAATTAATCCTTCTGAGTTTCATTTTAAGAGTTTATAAATGTATGATCTCACTTCACATTTGTGAATTCTATCTTTCCTCACAATAATATACATTCCTAGTAATCCTGGAACTAGAGATTGATTATTATAAAGTACCCTAAACAGTTCGAGGATGGTCAGGTCTTGACAGATGAGAGGTCTTTAATGTGCTCCAACTCTCATGGTTAAGAAATTACATCTTAGGGGCTGGAGAGATGTCTCAGTGGTTAAGAACACTTGCTGTTCTTACAGAAGACCCAGGTTCAAATCCCAGCACCCACATGGCAGCTAACAACTGTCCATAACTCCAGTTCCAGGGGATCTGACAGTCTCTTCTGTCCTCCACGGGCATTGCACGACACAGGCGCACTTACCTACATGCAGGCAGTACACGCATACACATAAAATAAAAATAATAAAATATTTTTAAAAAGAAATTACATCTTATAGCTAACTCTATAGGTGAGACTCAATTCTCATATTTCTGATAAAATTTAAAATGTCCATTATGATATTAGTAAGATCATACACATGAAGTTCTCTAATGATAGTTCTTAATCACTGCTGGTTTTCCAGTTAAATAGAGCCTATTAATTCTCCCTCATTTATCCTCATTGTTTTTTTTTGTACTTACACATGAACTCCTTTAGACAAGAACAGGTCCATTTTAATGGATTCTAGCCAGTGGGCAATACCTCCTCAGGAGGAAGAAGATATTGGTTGATGATGTCAGATACTATTCTAAAGGCCATAGTTTCATACAAAATAAAACTCAGAAGGATTAATGTCTTCCAAAGTTGAAGATAATATCAAGAGTAAACTGATTCATTCTTCCTGAAGTCTTATTGTTAACCCTATACTGCAGGTCAGGGAATTAAATAATCTGTGGTAGTCACAAAGCTTAGATGAAGCCAGAAATTAAAACAATGAAATGAACCTTTGTTTCTTCAACCAATTCTACAAGTGACCAGCCTTCTCAGCGAAGGCTCACATTCTCCAGAGATATAGTATCTCAAAATTAATAATAATAAAGCAAACAATGAAAGCTAAATTTTCTCATTATCAACACTTTCCAAACACCATGTTAGCTCTCTCACAAATGGATTTTGCAACATAGGAAATAGTTTCTAATTTCTCTATGGAGATATTCTGAGAACCCTGTAAATCTGTATCATGAACAATCAGAACTTGAATGTAAGTCCTGTTCTAAACATAAAAACTAAAATAAAACTGAGCCATGATCCTACCATTTAAAAGTCACAACTCAACATTTTGGCACATTTCCTTCTATTCTTTTTTCTCATTTCTAAAAAGCATAATAAATAGGCTCCCTTTCAAAACAATTTTTATTTGGACCACTTATTCAAGAAGTTTGTTGCCTCATTCCTGGCAGAGGGCAAGGGGCAGGAACCCTATGGTCTGTCCACTTGCCTGCAGCGAGTGCACTTACTTCTTTCAAAGGCAGCTCAAGGCATTGTCAGAAAAACCAAATGAAGCATTAACCATTGTCCTCTTCCTTTTCCTATTTAGAAGACATTCTGTAGTTAAAATGATAGATGACTCACTAGCTAGCATCTGTTCTCTCATTTCCAGGGACTTATTTCCTCTCTCTTATTAGTTCTTACCTGTGTCTGAGATGAAAGGGTCAAGTTTAGACCTTCTCTGGAGCTCTGCATCTCTGTTGATGGTCTTCTTGGTCTTAGATAATTTGCTTAATGATTAATAGAAGTTTCTATTCCTACCACTGACTTTTACAGAAACTAGCACAACCAAGTCAATGTTTAACTGCATTCTTTAGTTCTGGAATGGCAAAGTAGAAGTTGAAGGGAATTCTCCATGGAAACCAGCCTCCCAGGAAGGGGCCAGAGAGGTTAGTGTGTGGGGACAGACCTGGAAAGATGTCACGAAGGAAACAACTGCTTTGGTAAGGTGAGGTAAAATTCTTAAAATTTTAATTCTGAAACCTCTTAATTACGTCAAGCTATATTAAAGCCACTCCCAAACCCCTCCTTCATGGTTTTCCTCTGAATATCTTCAGGGGAAATGGGCTTGGGCCGCTCCAAGGCTCACCCTCGGGTGATCAAAGTTGCACCTTTACAAAACCAAGAAGCAGAGACTCCCTCAGCTGGCCCTGTGTTCTTTGCATTGACTGGGAACCTGGAAGAAAAGAGCTCATATTCATTCAGAAGACTGCAGGACCAGAATCGAGTTCTGGAAGGGCAACTGCCACCTCTGCGAGAAACCTGGCATGGAAGACATCCTGCAGGTACACGAAAGCCAAACACGAGATGTGTTTGTCTATGCTCAGGAGAACTCTTGAAAGATTTACCGACTGTCTCCATGAGCTCTGAAAGTCTAGATTATTGTCATGTAAGAGAATATTTTTGAGTGAGGACTGAATGTCAACTAAATATTTTCTGGTATATTAGAATGGTTATCAGTTCTGTATAAAGGACTTTTCATCCTTAATGAGAAGGAAATACTCAGCTGGTTTCAGCTTAGACTGCAGTGATGTCAACACTTATTCTTACTTTCATGCCTAATTTCATGTCTAAAATTATAGAGCCAAAGATGTGACAAACAGTGGTAACTGTGATTCGGTTAGGTTCTAAATTTAAGTCACTATCTCAAGTGCAGTTTAATGCATCCGGCTTTGTGGTTTTGAGAGTAGCACTTTAGGAATAAATATCACTAATATAAATTTTTTTTAAGAATTTTATTTATTATTTTTATTTTATGTGTATGAGTGTATTGCCTGCATGTATATGAGTGCACCAGTGTCGTGCAATGCCACAGAGGTCAGAAGAGGGCTTAGGATTCCCCTGGAACTGGAGTTAAGGACGGTTTGTAGCCACCATGTGGGTGCTGGGAATTGAACCCGGGTCTTCTGCAAGAGTAGTCAGTGCTCTTAACCGCTGAGCCATCTCTCCAGCCCCACTAATATAAATTTTGAAACCACCCCAAACAGAGTTGATTTACTGCAGGACAGAGAGTAGAGGAGTTACCTTCCTGAACTCTGTATTCTTTACGGTCATCACAGAAGTAAGAGAAGTTGTTCTTGAATACTTTTCATGACATGTAAAATGATTTGTGGTGACCACAGAATAATTAACATTCTAACTTGGGAAAAGTAATGAATATATACATATGTCATATGATAGATATATCATATGTATAGCTATGATGTGGTACATCTGTCACTTTTCTCCTCCTCACATTCCGGGTCAGTGCATGAGGGGTTCTCCTTCCTGGATGACTTGGTCAGAATGCTTTGTGTTTCTTTAGGGTCCTACCAGGTCCTTAGCCAGAGTGATTTTCATGGCTATTTTCTATAGAACTAAGACATTGAGTAGTTTTGCATTTAAAAAAAACTTTTTAAAATGCTCTTCAATATGAATGGGAATTTTTCTCTTAATGGTACCAAAAGATTCTTTTTTTTAATCTACGATTCCTATCCAAAGTTTTAAGATTTTGGTAACTGGATGGTAAAAGCTAATTTGCACACTTTAGAGTCCCAACTCAAAAACTGTTTTTAAAAGACAAAAGTCATACTAATTACAAATAATAAGGGGTGGTAAACATTTGGTATAAAGTACCACTTCTAACCAGAGTATTCTGGATGCTGGGGTTTTTTTAATATTTTTAGAAATTGTGTGTGTGTGTGTGTGTATAGATATGTGTGTATTGGTGTATGTGTCTTTGTGCATGTCTGTGTGTATCTGTGCACATATGAGTGTATGTGTCTAATGAGCTAGAAGAGGGCATCAGATTCCCTGGAGTGGGAGTTACAGGTAGTTTTTAGCTGCCCATCATGTGTGCTGGGAACCGAACTCAAGTCCTCTGCAAGAGTAGTATGTGCTCCTCACTGATAAGCTATCTCTCTAGCCCCCTGAATGCTGCCTTTAAAGAGCCCATATTCTGACCTTAACCTCCCAAACACCATATCACATGACATTAGGCAAGATACTTCATCAGTTTTGTTGGCCTATAATCAGGAGAAAAACAAATGTCTGGAGCAGCCTTTGCCATTCAGGGGAATCCAACTAAAAGATGGGTTGCTATCACTCAATCATATCATAAAAGTGAAGAGTAGTTAAGTTCCTGGGGAAAAAAATGACTAAAACTATTTACATTTTTAAATACAATGTGGTGGTGATATTTCTGTCCCATTGAGTGTGCTAATATCATCTGAAAGAAAGTAAAGGCATAGTTTCCATTCTACCAAAAGTTGGAGATAGCAAGGTCTTTACAGTAGCCATTCAAATGTTTTGAGGATGAAGACACATAATTACTTAGAATTTTTTTTGAATTTAAAGTGCAAAGTGTGAGTATAGGCTAGTCTATACAACAATCTAAAAATCAGAATGTGTCCAGATTGATCAAAGAGGCCAAGGACTTCATGCAGTTTGATCATTGCAACAGTCCCAAGAGCCCCCCGTTAATCAAGCGAGACCTAGAATTCATAATGCATGTGTTAATCTGATTCCCAGCACAGTATCTCTATAGCCCTGATTTGTTTTATCAGGAAAGAATATGTTGGATCGTAGTGGCAACTTAGGGGACTGTGTCCTGTAAATTATCTATTTTCTCTGAAAATATCGTTAATTTTCATTTCTTAATGTATATTTGTCTGATTTCTTGTATTTGAGGGGAGGAGATTTCATGGCATTCAACTAATGGGCTAGAGATGTAGCTCTGTGGTAGCTTGCCTAGTACATGTGAGGCCCTGGGTCTGATCCCCAGGACAGAATTTAAAAGTCATAAGATGAGTCAGTAAGTTTCTTTACTCCAGGCTAAATTTTGTGTTTGAATAATATGTATAGCAATACATACCTAATTCTGCAGATGCTCTTTTAAATATCAACCTGGAGAGGAAAGGAGGAGGGCAGAAGGCAGACTAAAATGTTACTGCACTCACCTGGGCACCCTGCTTTGTGTGTCCATAGTTATCATGTGGGTGACACATGTATAAGTGAAAGATGTTTTCACAACTGTGTGGATGAAGTCTACTAACCAATAATCAGCACTGCTGCCTACTTTAACAGTAAATTGATTTTAATGGTTGTCCCCCCCCGACCCCCACCCAATCCTTCAAGTATCCAGGGCCTTGTATTTTGACATCCCGCTGAAACATGAAGAAACAAGTATCATCAAAAGGCACCCACCCCGAAGAATTCAAGTAAGATGAATCTTAAATCCTTCATAAGGAATTTCTTGGCTTTAATGGTAATACCCCTTTCCATCTATAAGAATATTGAATAAGTTGTTAATGAAAATGCTGTTAAATGTTGATGCTGCAAAGACCAATCTGTTAGAATTTCCTTTAGCAATGAATGAGTCACTTTTAAGGCCTATGACCAAAAGAAGTACGTTAGGAAGAACATATGTATAGGGATTTAAAGGACCTGAATCTAGCACCAATTAATGGAGTGACTATGGGAAATCACTTATAACATCAACTACCACTACTATTCAAGTCAAACACTCCACACCAAGCAACTTGATCTATGTCACTCAGGTAATCCTTTAGCTCCACATAAAAAAGGAAGTCTCATCTTTGTCTCTATGTATGGTTCTGTGTTCTATATATGGTTCAGAAAGTGGGAAATGTGCCCAAAGACACACAGGGCATAACTATCTGCCAGGCCTCCAATGCTCAGCCATCAGTGTAAGCCATCTATGCCCCCCTTCACCTGTGCCTTTAATCACCCTAGATATTATAATTACTGGTTGTTGAAACTGATAACACTGGATCCCAAGGGAACAAAGAGTTTTTAATGCATTTGCCTTGATAGAAATTTCATGGAGACCTAGCTATACATTCTAATATGTCTCACCCTAGGAAGGGAAAGAGATCAGAGTGAGTCCTTGGAAATAAGCATAAGCTAATAGCAGGTGGGGGCTCACTGTGAGCAGGACCTACCTCTGACACTTGAGAAAGGGAATGACAGCCAAACTCCACCTGCTTCAGGATTCACCCAGTTGTCTGGACCAGTTCCAGGGGTAGTGAAGCTCATTTGTTGAGGATTATTTCTGGTTCACTTGGTTCATGTTTACTTGTCTTCTCTAGAAGCTCAAATTTATTATTTGAAGTGATGATAACCTTTAGCTCCAAAAGAGCATTTCTTCTAAATATATCAGGAAACTCAAAATATTGTTTAGTTCAAGAAAAATAAAGGGTAAAAATAATAAATTAATGTCTAATTTAAAAATTTTGAGACTACCTCTGGCTAAACTGAGCAATTCTAAAGCTTGCTTTATTCCTAAGCCAAACACTTTCTTTCAAAGTAGTCTTTAATATATGACCCTATGACAGCCTTACAGACTCAAACAGAAAAAATTACTGTTTCCACAGAAATATATTTGTGTAGGACTCTCTAGTCCACAGAGTAACTTTAATATTTGGCAACCCTAAATAACTGAAGGTTAAGCTTTGACTCCTCCAATAATCAACCAAGTTCAAAAAGAGAGCTTTGATATTTCAGAGTCCATAATACCAAATAAATGAAGACTCAAGGCACACCATTTGAGTGTAGACTATGTTTTGTTTAATCTTATACTTCCAGCTACTAACAGTATACACCACACAAAAGTGTACAAGTGAATGAATGAAAGAAAACTCTCTCTGCTGAAGGGAAACACTCACAGTATACAAAATGATCAATGTGCTTAACTATAAAGACAATGGGAGCATTTCGTTGAACCCAAAAACTGAGAACCACCTGGACTTAGCAAAGCTCAGAAAGGAACTCCACACATCTCACCTAAGTTCTCCATACATCTGTTTTCATCTCTCCAAAGATCAGCTTTCTCTGCTCCTCAGGGCCACTTGATGAGTTTGTATCTTTTATGTCCGGTCACATGGGCAGACTAGCCTGATCATGGCTAAGATTCCAAATTCCTGGGGGAAAGATCTTATTGGCTCAGCGTTGTTCATGATTCCAACTCTGAGCCAATGAGCAATGCGCAAAACACATGCTGGTGCTACAGAAATGTGGGCAGAGGAGTCACCCTGCAGGTTCTGGAGGCAGCTCCCAGAGGAAAAGGAAATCACCAGGAACTTGGCAGACGCTCCGAAAGATATCATCTGTAATTATCTTCACAAATGAGGCTCAGCACATTTTCTACCACAAATGGGTTTTTGAGAGAATAATAAATGCTGGGTTCCCATGACATGCTAATTAATAGCCTGATCTCTGCCAAAGAAAATTCTAAAAGCATTTTTAATTATTAAACCAAACCTAATTGCATCTTAAATAATTTGAGTTGCGTATTTGGTGCCCTCCACTTCCTGAACATTTACTCCTCCAATAGAGAACAGGTCACGAACTAAAGGTCCTCATCCTGAAGGTCAGGAGTTGAACCCTTCTGCCAGCAAGCTCTGAATCAAATGTACTTGCACCGTGGAGAAGAGTTGATCAGCAGTGCCCCTCTGGCCTGATCACCTTCTCATCCAACCATCCAGACTAAATGGGAACACACACACACACACACACACACACACACACACACACACACACACACACACAGAAAAAATTTTTTCTTCACACCCAGTGTGGGTCACACACACACACAATGTGGACCCAGGTGATCTGCTTGGATAACTCCCTGATTTCCAACGGTCTGTCCACAGGTGTCCCTATGAGGCCCACCCTGCACGGCTTATTGAACATTGCAACCCCCATCCCAGCTGTCCTGACTCCCTCAGCTGTGCTCTATCTTGCCATTTCCCTCACTGCACACCAGTTTCCATCAAACATATCAAATACTTGATATGTTTCAAAAAATGAGAAGTCTGAAGTGCTCCCAAACCCAATTTTACCTGAGCACTGACATAATGCCAAGAGAAAAATTCCACACCTGACCATATATGATGGTTTGCAGCCAAAAGTTGTTTCACTGAAAATATTGTATAAAATAACCTTCAGGCTATGTGCATAGTAAATATATGAAACAAATAAATTTTGTGTTTAGACTTGGGTCCCATCCCCAAGACACCTCATTATATGTATATGCAAATATTCCAAAATCAAAACTAAAACCCCACAAATGAAACACTACTGGTCCCAAATATTCAAGTAAAGGATATTCACCCTGTATAATATATGCAATAGGATTTTGACCAAAATCCCCAAAGAATATAGGCAGCATATTAACAATTCAGGGAATTTTACTTTGTAATTACCCACGCACAGTACTTTGGTTAAGGAAACTGCCAAAGATATTGCAGCTGAGGGGTAACTACCTCTAAGCCGAAGGAAACTGAGAGATTTCTAGAGCCTGGAAGGAGAAAGTTGGGTAGAGGAAGCAGCTTTGAGAGTAGGAGTGGCCTTCCATTGAGGGACACAGTCACCCCCATACCACCTTGCGAGGAGTAGATACCTGATCTTGTTTCCTTTCCCTCTCTCTGTGGCTGCACCCAGTGGGCCACCAGAGGCAGGGAAACTGCTGCATCACGACAGGCAGAGAACAGGGTGGAAAGTGGGTGAGCGGATCTGGAGAAATGGGGGGAAGACACTGGCACTACCATTCAATTGCAGATATTTACTCTTTGGTGCTAAGGCTTCTTGGTGTTGAGCGTTGTATTTTACTGATTTGTCTCCATTAGAACAATCATATGGTGTATACACACACACACACACACACACACACACACACACACACATATACAAAAAAAAATCACACGGATTTCCTTTTCCCTAGGTGATACAATGTAGATTTTATGATGCCGAACCATGTTTGCATTTCTGGCACAGATCCTACTTGGTCATGGGACACATATCTAAGTACATGGCTGAGGTGGATTTTCTAAGGCTTTGTGTATCTGATTTAATAAGTGAGTGGGTCTATAATTTTCCAATATAGTTTTATAGCAGCTTTCCCATCAAGATCGAATTAGTCTTATGAAATGAATTGATTACTCATCCCTCTTTTCTAAAACATTGTAACAGAGGGCTTAACTATTCTGTTTGATAAAATAGACTCTTGGACTTTTAAGGAAAGAGAAATTTTCCTACTAGCTTCATTTCCTTGTAGTTCTGAGTTGATTTAGGTATCTTGTTCTTAGGGTTTCTCAGAAATTATCCATTTATCAAATCTTTTGAATTTATTGTTACAAAGTCTTATCTTCTTCATACTCAACCTTTTGCTAATGTTTGTGAAACAAATTTTCCAGTTACATTTTGAAGCAACTTGTGTGTGTGTGTGTGTGTGTGTGTAGGCTAGAGGATTATGTTAGATGCCTTCCTTAATTACTCTCTCTTTACTGAGGAGGGGTCTCTCCCTGAATTTAGAGCTCATCAGTTCAGCTAGTATAGATAGCCAGTTTGCCCCCAGGGATCCCCTGTTTCCACCTCCCAAGTACTAGGACTACAGGTAGGAGGCCACTACACCTGCCCTACTTTTACATGGGCTCTGGTGATCTGAACATCAGTCCTCACACTGTATGGCAAGCATTTTACCTACTAAGCCATCTCTCCAGCTCCAGATACCTTGTTTTCAGTGCTGAGAATTGAACCCATGGTCTGTTACATGCTAAGAACACACTTACCACTCAGTTATACCCCCAGCCCTCCAGTTCTTTCATAATTAATATAGTGCTAGAGAACTCAGTCCTGATTTCAAGCTGGGAGCCTGGCTCTGCTATGGAGCATTTTTTGATCCCCTTTATCTAATACAAATAACTCACAGCCATCATGGGCCCTAAGTGCCTTATGGATCAGCTCCCCACAAATATTTGCATTTCTATTCTGTTTTCTGATCTAGGGGAATATTTATCTTGTACTAAAGCCAAATCACATCATGTTGATTTTCTGTTTTGTTTTTCATTGCTAGCTGTTTGGAGCAAAGAGTGTTATTGAAACACAACTTCATTACAATGATTTGATCAGAAATTCTTCTTTGGCCTTATGCTGCCTTAATGATTTATCAATATAAAGCTGTAATAAGTAACTTTCTCTAATTCCCAGAACTTGAAAAGACCAATTCTCAAGTCTTGGTGCCAGACAGATTTTACATTTTCTTTGGGTTGCTCTGACCCATCTTTCCTTCCTTGCTAAGAGACAGAAATAACACTCTCCAGTTAGTGTTCATCACCAAGTTCAGAGACTTGTAGTCCATGGTTGATCTATACTTGATTCCTGATTCCTCTGGAAAACATTACAAATGATTATACCAATCATTTGCTTTGTTTGAAAAGCAAAATACTCCAGAAATCATCAGACAAACAAGACGTTTCCTTACGTTAGAAGGAGTCACGCCACCACTTTTCTAGTGACTCCTTCCAGGGTTCTCCCTCCACGGACAAGAAGAATCAAGCATCTTAGTTACGTGGCATGGAGAGGGACAAGCGTGTGAACCAGAATCCTGAGGCAACCTCAACTGGCTGGCTTGTTTAGATGAAGTCCATTTTCTCAACCGTTTTTCCTGCTCTGCTTCTCAGGCCAAATGCCACGAGTCTTTAGTTGCCATATCAGTTGCTGCCATCTAGTGGCTTTGTCGAGACAGCGCACTCCTTTTAAGACCAGAAAGTAGCCCACAGATTGCTTGACAATCCCTACCATTTAGCTTTTATCAGAAAGGTGAATTTAAGTAGAAAAAATGAAAATAGAAGAAAGAGGTATGTGGTTATCAAACTCATATTATCAAAGCATAAACTTGGTCCTAAGAGTTTATGGATAATTGTTTTAAATGATTCGAACATCTTGGCATCTTTGTATTGTTTTTGTAATGCACATTTTCATACATACAAATCCTCTACAGTCTATTTTGATGTAGCTCCTTTATTCACTTGAGGCAACGTGGGGTCACTTGAGATTCCATGCAAAGAAATTATCAGAGTCCCTGGGAGAGTACTGATAAATGTCTCCTCCCAGGACACACCCTAAACCTGGGGGATCTCTGTCTCTGGTGAATTACCTAGAGGTTTTGTTTTGCAATTCCAGGGCATACTGATGATAAAGAATTTGGAGGAGCAATCAACGAAGGGACGAGCATGGGTTTGAGACTGGACACCCCTAAGCTTGAATCCTAGTGATGCCACTTTGTAGTTGTGAAAATTTAGACAAGTCATGAACCTTTCTAGAATGGGGATCCTCATAAGTACACACAGGGTCACCTGAGAATTACATGTGATGGTATGTTTGTACCTACACATAGTATGGAGCAGAGCAGTGGTTGCAAAGTCATCCAAACCTAACCACGAACACAGGAATATTGAAGACTCATCCACACACAGGAGATACAAACACTTCCTTGTTCTTTCATCTAATCCCCACCCTCAGCCATTATAGATTCTTCCTTCCACAGATGTCTGGAGGGTTCCCTCCCCCTGGGTCTCTCTTCTTTGGTTCGTCCTTCCAGAATTCCAACACAGTCAACTGCTGTCTCCTAAACCAGCATCTTCATGCTCTGAAAAGTTTAGAGCCAGGGGAACAAACAAGTTTCTCTTACTGTTTGATCATTTCTCATGACTCCTTTGCTAGATTAGATTACAGGACCATTCCTCATATAAATTGTGCCTCCCAGTTGCCAGTGATTACTACTGAGGAGTCTGAGGAAGCTTCTCTGGTGGGAATGGGACAGAAAGCTAGTTCCTGCCATGAACACAGACTGCCAGGCACATCTCTCACATAAAGAGGATGTAAAGATACTAACTTTCTCTGTCTCCAAATCCTTTGCTCCCTTTCTTCCTTCTCATTCAACTTTGAGCTCTCCCCAGAATAGGTCATGTCTGGTACCAGGGATCAGGAAACGTCTGTATAGAAAATAGTGGGAGGTCCTGATCACACTTGCTATTGAAAGTGTTGGGCTGGGTGTGGTGGCACACACCTTTAATACTTAGGAGGCAGAGGCAGGCGGATCTTTGTGAGTTTGAAGCCAGCGTGGTCTACGTAGTGAGTTCCAGGACAGCTGGGGCTACAGGGAGACCCTGTCTCAAAAAGACAAAAAAAAAAAAGAAAGTGTTAGATACTGGGCATCTAGTTTCCATGGGTCCTCTGAGTTTGCATCCTGGTCACACAATCCAACAAGCACATTCCAAAAGAAGTTACCATTTGTCCTCGGCGTTGGCCTAAAGGGGAGCTGTACTCTCATGGCTGACTGCACCCAATGCCCTCCTGGGTTCCCTCCTTCCAGAATCATCATTTCTCTGTTTCCTTGGCCAACGCATCTCCATTATGCAACCTCTCAGTACTGGAGCTCCTGAAGTCTGCCATCGTTGTCTCTGCTCTTCCCCCTCATACTCTACTCGGGGACGATGCCAAAAAAGTTCATTTCCAACACAGACTTTTTCTCTAAGCCCCGCAAAGGTGTCTCCAAGTCAACTGTCCCTAACCAAATTTGTATCATCCCTCTGAAACCGAAACCACATCACCCTCTAAGAGTCTTACCTCACTAGGTAACACCATTCAAATATTCATTGCATCGAGGGTGCCATTTGGAGACTTCGACTTTCCCGCTACCAACCACGGCAAATCTTTGGTCAAGCTTAAATATTTGTGGAGCTATCAGTTTTCCTCCATTAACCCCCGTCCATCATCTTCGTCCTCTGACTGCTTTTCTCACACCCATAATTTCTCCTTTCTAACCCAGTTTCTTCATTGCAATTAGAGGGATTATTTTTAAAAAGCAAAGATAATCAAGTAATGACTGTTTTGCTTCATGCACATCAGTGGCTTCCCACTGCTCTTAAGAAGCCCAGCTGACATTTTAGAGTGGCCTCTGAACCCTGCCCAGCTAGCCCCGATTAGCCTCCCAGTGAGCAGTTCTTGCCTCCCTCTGAACCCAGGTGGCCTTCTTCAAAAAACTATGAGGGAGAATGTGTTCCTGCCTCTTCCCTGGTTTCTGGCAGCTTTGGGGCAGTCTCCAGCATTCCTTGGCTTATAGGAGCATCACCCCATCTCTGCTTTCATTGTCACATGGTGTCCTCCCTATAGCTATATCCAAATTTCTCCCTTTTCATAAGAAAACTGTCATATTATATGAAGGGCCCACCCTAGTTTACTATGACCTCATCTTCACTAATTGCAGTTGCAATTAACGTCTTTCCACACAAGATCACATTCTGAGGGATGTGGGATAAGGACGTCAAATATGAAAGGTGGTTAAATACACAATCCAACAAGCACCATCCCCATTAATTTCCAATGGTGCGTCTCTGAGTTTTATAATGTCATAATCCTGCCCTGCACATTTTTTCTTCAATGTATTAATTGCAGTGGGTAATTATAGATCAAAAATCATACCAGCAAGAGTCTCCATGTTGCCTGTAGGTTATAGGCTCTGTCAGGAATGGTGTCCATTTTTGCTGATCATTGCATGCATCCCCATGCCTAGTTGTATTAGTTACTTTGTTGTTGCTATGACAAAACAGCATGGCCAAGGGAACTTATAGAAGGAAGAATTTATTTGAACTTACAGTTCCAGAGTGATTACAGTCCATCATGGCAGAGAAGCGTTGGTGGCAGGAGGTGGCCAGAGCAGAAAGAGGAGCCACCCACATCTTGACACAGGCACAGGGAGCAGAGAGAGAGAGGCTAGAAAATCTTGCAAGGCTTTAATATTCTCAAAGCCTGCCCCCAGTGGTGGGCTTCCTCCAGCATGGCCATACCTCCTAAAGGTTCCATGACCCTCCCCAAACTGTGCCACAAACTGATGACTAAGTGTCCAAATGCTAGGAGCCCATGGGAAACATTTTCATTCAAACCACCACACCCAACATGGAACAGTGATTTAGTAAACGCTTACTGGGTAAATCAATAAACCCTATAGGCCACTCCTCTCACATCAGTTCGAGGAGACCAGCTTGCTAGTCCCACGTCGGCTAGGTTCTCAGTGCTCAGGTAGTGGAGCAAAGAGTCTTCTGAGGTAGGAAAGACTGGACAAGCAGCTAGGGAGATACTTAGTAGGTAAAGTGCTTGCTATGCAAGTATGAGGACCAGGGTTTGGATCCCCAACACCCATGTAAGAAGCTAAAAAGCCTGGTGTGGTGACACACAGGTGTGATGATGCACATCTGTAACTCTTGGGGGGGGGGGGACATTCTAGAAGCAGAGGCTGGCAGAGATCTGCGAGATTGAGGCCTGGGCTATATATCAAGTTCCAAGCAGTTCAAAATAAATTGATGATAGATAGATGATAGATAGATAGAATAGATAATAGATAGATAGATAGATAGATAGATAATAAAAATAGTAAGATAGAGATCTTCAGAAGAAGACATCCAAAAATCAACCTCTAGTCTCTACGTGTACACGCACAATCTAGTACACCTGCACATATATGTATGCCATACACACACACACACACACACACACACACACACACTCATAGAACAATGAAGGAAATAGCGGGCAAGCTTGGCCATGAACACAAACTCCTACCCTGTTTTAGTGAACCTTCTAAGCTCCAACGTCTGGACCATTTGTAGGCACTTTTCAGTTTCAAGTGTGTTTCCTCACCAGTGATGACCACTGAGGAGTCTGAGGGAGCTTCTCTGGAGACCTTCGAAAGAGGTCACTTCCCTAAGCACTGGGACAGCTCAGCTGGGTGGCTAACAGATAGGTAAAATAAGGTAGTTCTCTGGTGCCTCTTTCATCTCTAATGGTCTAAGACCCCAGCGCTTTGATAACTTTGAACATGGTCCCTCAGGGCAGAGAGAAAAGGTCTCTTAACTCCCTAAGAGTCTAACAACTCACTGAACTCACTGGCACCAGTGTGACAAGACAGTGAAGAACCCAGATATGTCAAAAAGCCTTTTGCGCTGTGATGCTGCGGGACTCACCTTCCCGGTGCGCCCAGGACCGCGCGCTGCTTCTGTAGTGCTCAGATAGTTTAAAGTCTCTGCTTTTGTGTTTTATCGGCTCATGGCATGACGAATGCTGAATGCTCTAAATGTTGGACTTCCAGAAGCTTGAACCCATTGACCTGCCACAAGTAATTACCTCTGAGAGACTACTGAGCCAGCAAGAAGCCAGAACAACGCACAAAGCGAAGGTGAGCTGCAGCAGCGGCTGGCGGGGGTGGTGAGCTCGGGGAAGAGCGTGGGATTCCGGCTCCGTGTTTTTCATGTTCTCCCCTCACACAAGAGCTCAAAGACAAATCAGAGAGGTCGGTCCTTGGCAGGTAGAAGGTTTAAAGCTCTGTGCTGGCCGGTGCCTGTCTCTAACTGACAACTGCTCTCGACTCTCAGGTGAGCTCTGGGCTGTGTCTGTTTTGTGGAGAAAACAAGGCCATGTAGATGGGAGGTGGGGGGGGGGGATGAATTTAACATAGAAACCAATGATTCTAGAAGTTCTCAAATTTGCGGAAAAATTCCAGTACAGCCCTTCCTTCCCCTCACTCTCCCTGAGTTTAAAACGCTCTCCCTTCTCGGTTTGCAGAAGGATCTTATCTACACATTGTCCCTGACTTCTGTGTTACAACCTCATCAAAATGTAATCCTAAGAGAGCTCTTCTGTCCTGCTAGACTCTTGTAATGAATTTGTGAAAGTGGTTAGGTAGGGTCACTTATTTGCAAACCCTTTCCTGCTTCACTCTGGAGCCTTTCAGACAGTGCTATGTGGCCGGCTGCCCAGCTTAGGAAGAGACACCCCAATAGTCTAGGTCATTCATATCCTGCTGACAATGGGGACAGGCTCTCCCTAAGCTTCTACATCAGCGGACATGAGCATTGTCCACAGGGCAGCACAAAAGATCAACTCACCGCTTTCACTTCCAGGCAATGGAGGTGAGAAATGGAGATACATGTACCCCTGCTTGCCCTCAAGAACCACCCTCCCCGCGCCACTGAGGTTCATGACAGACCCAGGGAAGGCGACCAGAGTCACAGTCACTTCCAGTCCTTCCCCGATTGCGGTGCGTCCCAAGACCCACAATCACATATGAACATATACTGTAGAGAAACAGGCTCCACTGAACCACTCGGGGGCTTGCCTCTCGTTTCTCAGGCCAACCAGCCAGTGGCAGAAGAGGTGAGGGAGAGAAAGGAAGGTCTCAGCAAACCAGACCACATTTCTGAAATATCTGTTGCTGGGGGAAGTAATACATTGTTAAAACAAGATTATCAAAATGAAATTGTCAAAACCTTTGCATTCCAGGTTTGCAGAACTCTACACCTTTCAAATGACATTAGATGCACGGCAGAATGCCACTTCGTTCACTGACAGTGATTCAAAGGACTTGTCAGGGACACACAGTAGCCCACCTTGATCCTCGCAGGAGGATCTGTGGATTATGATGGATTGAAATCTCCTTCCAAGAAGGATTTTAGGCTGTGAATTGCATAAGACGGTAACAGTTACCTCCATACTAATGAATCTATCATCTCTCAGCAGGAATTGGAGAAGAAAATGCAGATTCCAATGTATACTCCTGGGAAAAGACAATATTTGCATAAGATGCAAATGCTGGAAATAAACCGTAAAAGACAAGAGGTAAATATGAAAAGAGTTTCCTTACCAACTTTGCATCTCATCATCACTGCCCTGGCCTGTCCAATCTGGACTAGCACCAGAACAAGAGAGTCAACCACTGAGCTGGGAGAATCAGAAAGATCTGCCACCAGCCCTGTGGAGTCTTTTCTGTTTTCAGTCTTTCCAAGATAAAGATAGGCCTCAAGTGTCTCTTTAAATTTTTGTTTTACATTTATTTATTTACTTATTTATTTATTGTGTGGGGGTAGAGGTGAGAGAGATCCTTATGTACCACAACACATGTCTAGAAGTCAGAAGACAACTTGTAGAAGTTCTTACCTTCCACCATGCGGGTTCTGGAAATTGAACTCAGATCACCAGGCTTGGCAGCAAGCTCCCTTACCCACTGAACTACTCGTTAGCCCGTCATCTGCCCTTTTTAAAAACATGTTGCTCCTCTGACATTCTGGCTCTAGCCACAGAATGGGGTAGATAATATTTATTTCTTGATTTAGTAAGAGAGGAAGGGAAGTCAGTCTTTATTCTGGTACCCAGGCCTCTCCTTATAATCCATGCCATAAAATATTAACAAGAATACCTTATCACTGCACTTAGGAGAGTGTACAGGAGGACTGCCTCAAGTTCTAAGCCAGCCTGGGCTACATAGTGAGTTATAGGACAGCCCAAGTTACAGAATGAAATCCTGTTCTAAAGGAAGAAAATGAAAGGTGCTGGAGAGTTGGCTCAGTGGTTGGACCTGGGTTCAGTTCCCAGTATCCACATGGCATTGTACAACACAGATACACTTACATACGTGCAGGCAATATACTCATACACTTAAAATAAAAGTAATAAAATATTTTAAAAAAATAAAGAGCTGGGCATGGTGGTACACACCTTTAATCCCAGCACTCAAGAGGTAGAGGCAGGCAGAGCTCTGAGATTGAGGCTAGCCTGGTCTACATAGTGAGTTCCAGGTCAGCTGAGGTTACGGAGAGACCCTGTTTCAAAAAGACCAAAAAAAAGGGATAGGAAAAAAGGAAGGAAGGAAGGAAGGAAGGAAGGAAGGAAGGAAGGAAGGAAGGAAGGAAGGAAGGGAGGGAAGAAAAAGAAAAATATATATTGCTCATAGCCCTGGAGACTGGAAAATCTAAAATCGAGGTGCTGTTGTCTAGTGAGACTTGTTGCTGTGTCATAACATTGCAGGGGAGATCACAGGTGACAGTGTGGTTGAAAGTAAGAGAGCCAACCAGCCTGTTTCAGGGAGAACTCCGGTGATGATAGCTTTACTCTATCCTGAGGGTGGAGTCCTCACCACCTGAACCTCTTTCAACAGCCCACAAACAAATTAGTATAAGAATTGGGGAATTAAGTTTCCAACATACAAATGTGGGAGGACAGACTGGAACCATAGAGGACTTCGGGTAACAAATCCTTTTACCAGTAATACTATGCAGCTGTCACAACCTAACCCCCACATCCCGAGGAACAGACTAGTTTCTGTCCTCTGCAACTTGCAAATGCCTCGCTTACAGAGAAATGCCTCTATAAGCATCCTCATTTTAGTTGAGCCATGCCTTTAGGGAGTCATGAACACACTTACCTTTCTCCTAACAAGCCCAAGAATAAAGTCCTCATACTTGTAAGAGGGACAAGAGCACTGCGTGGTAGTCAGGGACTACAGGTCTGAGCAGGCCTCACTTGCAGTGTGACTGAGGTGCTGGTCTGCTCTGCTGAAGACAACTTCTGGGAAAACACTATTTACAGCTGATCATTTTCAGGCCCAAATGGAGTTGAGGAAAAGTCTTCACCAGGAAGCAAGGATTAATATGCAAAAACTGAAGGACCAGAGAGGCAAGAACATCCTTCAACACATGCCCAGAAGTGTCGGCTGTGACATGCTAACCACACTGCCTGATGAAACGGTCAACAGAGGCCTGGGTGAGCTGTGTGGCTTCCTTCCTTAGTAAAATATTTCAAGCATTGTTTTGTTTTGATTGGGGATTTGATGGCTTTGGTTTGGGGGGTGGTTTTGTTTTGTTTTTAAGGCAGGTCTGCAGTAGCTTAGACTGGCCTCTGATTCACTATGGAACTAGGGATGACCCTGAACTTCTGATCCTCCTGCCTCCATCTCTCAGGTGCTGGACTGCACCACCACATCTGGGTTATGCAGTACTGGGATTGAACAGAGGCCTTTGTACATACCAGACAAGAACTCTATCAACTGAGCTATCCTCAGCCCCCTGATTTTGGGGGGATTTGTTTTGTTTTTTGAGATAAATTCTCACTATATAGCCCAGATTAGCCTGGAATTCAAGATCCTCCTACCTCAACCTCCCGAACATTGGGACGCACGCATTCTTTAAACTTGACCAGACCAACTTCCAGGATGAGCATGGGGGAGAGAGGGAGAAGATGGCAGATCTTCAAGGGGGAGATTTGAATCTCAGAATGCAGTGGTATGCATGCATGCATTTTGTATAGCTGGGAAGAAAACACAAAAGCTTAAGCTCTGCAAGAGAGGCATCTTTCTTCCTGTGGGTTTAGCATGCATTGCATACATTCCTGAAATCCCAAGAGGACAGGCTGATCTTCCCATTAGGGAGACTGAGGCTTCTGGACATATATGAAGTTGCCTGCATTCACATGGCATGCATGTGTTAGCTCCTTGGGTGCCATGTGAAAACATGTCCCTTGTGGTACCTTTCACTCTGCAGGTCAACCCACCTGGGCACCCCATAGTGTCTACAATGAATCTGTCCTCTGCAAATTGCAAACGCCTCACTTAACAGAGAAATGTCTCTATAAGCATCCTCATTTTAGTTGACCCATGCCTTTAGGGAGTCATGAACACACTTACTTTTCTCCTAACAAGTCCAAGAATAAAGTCCTCATACTTGTAAGAGGGACAAGAACACTGCGTGGTAGTCAGGAACTACAGGTCTGAGCAGGCCTCCGGCACCATGTCCTCCCTCATACCTGGCTCCTGCTATACCCACTATCTCCATAGGGGAGACACCCCATATCCTATATCACTCAGACCAACCTCCTGGGGTCCTCTTCAGCCTTTCCTCTCCCTCTCCTGTGGTCACAGAGTCCTACTGATATCTCTGTTGTTGCAAAAGAACATAGCTCTCACCTCAAAAAGAGTAACTGATAGTCTACCCTAAAGCCAAATACAAGCAATATGGGTAGGAAACCCAGATTCAGGTTGTCACAAATAGTCTGGTCTGGTGTGATAACAGTTTCATGAGGTTTTTACAGTATAGAACAGAGAAATCATAAATGAAGGTACTTTTTAAATGCATTAGTGGAAACAGGAAGGCAGGTTACAGTAAAGTAGGGAAATCACTGTTACAGTTCTCAGATATTATCTGATACATTTTTAGTTTTTGTGTTGGTGGAAGCTAGGGGCCTGTTTGTACAGTTCCAAAAGTTTCACTTAATAGTACAAGTATGTTAGACAACACAGAGGTGGGCAATAAATGGCAATTTGGGACTATGACAGTCCAAGTAATTAGGCTCTAGACTTGAACCATTCCAACTCTCTACAATCATTAAATTTTTTTTTAATTTATTATTTTTATCTTATGTGTATGAGTGTATTGCCTGTATGTGTGTAAGTGTACCTGTGTCATGCAATGCCCTCAGAGGACAGAAGAGGCCATCGGATCCCCTGGAACTGGAGTTATGGACAGTTATTAGGTGCCATGTGGATGCTGGGTTTTGAACCTGGGTCTGCTGCAAGAACAACCAATGTTCTTAACCGCTGAGCCATCTCTCCAGTCCCTACAATCACTAAAGTTTTAATCAGTCAATCAACCACATAGAATGTTAAACCCAGGCATGGCTTTTCGCCCCCTCCTGGAAAGTTCAGTTAACATGCCCAGTGCTGAAATCTGCCCTTTCTTTTCAGTTCTGAACTATGCTGCCAAAGGTCAGGCCCACAATCTGTCACTCCAGGGTTCTTCTCGAGCCACCTGACTCCTCCCTGTAGGTGTCTGGTCTCTACTCTCCTCAAACTTCTGTGGCTGTGGTCTCAGGCCAGCAGTAGCAGCACACCTGCAAACTCCACTGGGCCCCAGCAAGAGTGTTTGAATAGGAAACTGGAGGGGTAAGGCCTGACCATCTGGGTTTAGCGGCCTTCTAGATACTCCTGATATCTGAACTTGAAGCATCTCTCTTTACTGTGCTTGGTGATCAAAGCATTGCATGAAGCCAATCAGCACTGGTATCCGGTGGGCAGGTGCTAGAAGTGAAGTATTTCAAGCCCCAAACAGACCTGCTCAATCAAACCCTTCCCTAGGATTCCCTGGGTGATTCCCATGCACACTACAGTTCTTTTGGTTTTTTTAACTCAGGGTTTCAGGCAAGCCTCAAACTCACTATGTAGCTGAGAATAATCTTAAACTTCTGATCTTCCTGTCTCTACCTTCCGGGTGCTAGGATCACAGTAGTGAACCACCATACCCAGATTAGATGTTTGTTTGAACCCAGGGCTTTGTGCATGCTAGCCAGAACCTACCAGCTGAGCTATAGCCCTGGCCCCACAGGCTGATGTTCTAGAAACTCTGCAGCAATTCAAAGTCATCATAGAAAAGGCAAATCTGACCATATCACATTCCTGTTTAGAAAGCAGTCACTTTCTTAACTGAGGCCTTGAAGGTCTAGCTCCTGGTCAACGTCCTGCCGTCATCTCCTACTGCTCCCACAGCCAGGCCCATCCTTCAGCCTTGAATCATCTGGGCTCTCCAGCAAACTCCCACCTCCATAGCCTCTATGCTAAGTAAGCTGCCCACGATCAGAGTGCCTTTAAGTTTTCCCTGTGTGAATTCCCTAAGACAGAGCTGTACATATCCTAACTGTTCACACACAGAGGTTGCTATGCTGGGGGTGAATCCCCATATTAACAGGGCTGACCACAGCTGGAGCTGCAGCATGGGGACACCTCTGGAGTATTGTGCTCTAAGAGACCAAACTACCTGCTAAAAGAGATGCTGCCCCAGCTCCAAAGAACAAGACGCTTAATCAATAAGTTAATTAAATAAAAGGCTGAATTAATTGAAAGTCAACCTGGGATATCCACTTAACCTATGCCCCAGTCTCAGACTGGATAGGCTTTGTTGTCACGTAAACAACTTTTACAACTGAAAAAAATATTGGCAAAATAACTTTAAAAAGGGCGCCAGCTGGGGCTGGAAAGATGACTCAGTGGTTAAGAGCACTGGCTGTTCTTGCAAAGAACCTGGGTTCAGTTCCCAGCACCCACAAGGCGGCTAACAACCATCCTTAAATCCAGTTCCAGAGGGTCCAGTGCCCTCTTCTGACCTCTGCAGGCATTTCATGATACAGGTGCACTTACATATATGAAGGCAATACACTAATACACACAAAATAAAAATAATAAAATATTTAAAAAGGAGGCCTCAGCTAAAGTCAGGCATTCGGGGTCATCACTTGAGAACAGGGCTAAAAATCTAACATTGGCAAAGGCTTTGGAAGATGTGCCAGGTTTGCAGGAACTTCGGAGAGACTGCAGAAAAGGAGACCAACTGCTTGCCTGAGGCTTTTTAGAGAGGCTAAGCTCACACCAGCAACCTAGCCCTTGGGATGTTGAGAAAGGAGGATCACCATAAGCTCCCTGGACTGCATAGTGAGTTCCAGGCCAATCTGGGCTACAGCGTACGAATCTATCACAAAAACAAAATTCTGAATGTGGTGACAGGTACCTTTAATCCAGCACTCATGAGGCAGAGGCAGACAGATCCCTATCAGTTCAAGACTATGTAGCATATAGTAAGAAGTTTCCTTTGTCTTGAGATATGAAAAAGATAGGGCTTTCTCTGAGATCTATGTCCTCTCTGGCCTCTGTGTTTGGCTGAGCCTACAGTGCCACCCACGAGCTCCCTCCCGTTGAGAGGGCTTTAAGTCCAGTTAGATAGCTGTTGATTGGCCCCCCAGATGACAGTGCCACTACTGCACCAATAGAGGTAGTTTGCCGTGCTGGTCATTATGGTTATTAGGCTTTAGGACTGGATTGGACCATTGATTGTTTTTCTCCCTTGGTAGTTTGCATATCTTCATCTACCATTATGATAGCCAAACTTCAATTAGGAGGCTTCCAGGTTAGTTCCTGCTCCATTGTTTCAAGTCCTGAACCCTAAGTATGTCCTGTCCTCAACAGTAGGGTTTTATCTACTAGTTCTGGGAGATAACCAAGAGGTTTGATAATATCCTTTGTTATTTTTGGAGCCTCCTGGACCACCTTCACCAACCACTCAAAGGGAGGCCTCTTCTGTCTGGCACTGTGTTCCCCTACAAGCAGCTCCCAGGTATATCTATGCACTAATGTTCAGACACTATGTGTATTTCTCATGGGGTTTCGAGGGCATCACTTTTCCTTCTAGGTTTCCTAGGTCCCCCCAAGATTCATTCATCTCTACTCTTTTTTTCTCCCATCTGGCCTCCCTCCCCTCTCCCTCCTAATCACAATGCCCCCATTATCCCTACCCTACCCTCAATACCACCCAATTCCCCCCAATCCTTGCTCTCCTGACTACCCTCCATCCCCCAAAACCATGGCCCCTTGCATGTCCCTCCCTCCTCTCCTCCCCATCAAATATTCCCACTCCACCCTCCCACGGCCTGGTAACATCTGATCCCTACTGTCCCCCTTTCAAGGTTCTTTCTTTTCCTTTACCTCCATGTATCCTTTCCCTTTTCCTGGCTCCTGGTGTTACATCAGAATTTAGAATACTACTTTTTAAAAGTTCTCCAAGTGATTTTGAAGATTTGCTGACCTTCAATGAACTCAACTTTGGAACACTCAGCACACGTTTTATGAATCCTTTCCTTCATAATGATTGTGTGTGTGTGTGTGTGTGTGTGTGTGTGTGTGTGTGTGTGTATGTGTGAATAGACATGAAAAAATGAGTCTAGAGTGAGATAAAAATTCTAATTGTTCTCATTAAAATGCGATCACAATTAATTAGGATCCTGTGGAGGGAGATGTCTGCAGGCAACACACCTTGTGCTGGAGTTGCTGGACAGGGAAGCAAATTGCCTTTCTTGTTGCTGTAACATTAGAACTGACAAAAGCTATCAAGGAAGGAAGAATTTATTTTGGTTCACAGTTCTAGGATGTAGTCTGGCACGGCAGGAAAAGTGTGGTGGCAGGAGTGACAGTCTGATCACATTATAGCTGCACTCAGTAAGCAGAAAGAGCTGAATACTGGCCTTCAGCTGGCTTTCTCAGGGAACTCAGCTTAATGGATGTAGCGGCCCATATTCAGGGCATGTCTTCCCTCTTCAGTTAAACTTCTAGAAGCATCCTTATAGACATACCCAGAGGTCTGTCTCCTAGGTGATTCCTAATCCAGTCATGTTGATAATAAAAATTACCACAAGAAGTAAAGCTAGCACAAACATTTTTTTGATGGTGGATAGATTATAATTCATATAAAGCTTGCATTCTGCTCTGTGCTTTGATTCTTACTGTACAACCCTGTAAAGGTTAAAATATAGGATACTTGGGATAATGGACAGAGTTAGGCTTCAGAAAGCACTTCTAAACATTTTACATGCATTATTGAATCCTTCCTTTATGAACTGCGTAAGGTCAGGATTATCACCACCTCTCTTTCAGAGATGAGACCAGATCCAGAGAGGTTAAGTCCAGGCTCAAGGTCACAGTCAGACAGTGAGAAATGAAACGGCTCTGGGATGTAGGCTCAGGATGCCTCACTCTAGAGCCTATCCTCCTGACTGTACTTGGCAGATGATCTAGCAATGGCTCCTTACATATCCCAGAGAACCTCTTTTCTTGCTCTCTCTGCCTTCTAAAAGCGGTTCACTTTGCTTTCCTCTGCAAGTGGAATGCAGACCTGAGCATCCTGATAGCTGGGGTCTGGCAATTCTTCTTCTACACCATTATCCACTGGTTCAATGGTACATCCACCCTTTCTTATTTCCCTTTTGGAAGATGGGAGGAGAGTTTTAGCTCTCCAGCTTTGTTTTCTGTTGCCTCTTTAAAATGTAATCGAACCTTTTAAATATTTTTTATATATTCACATGATAAATTACACATATAATCTTGTATGTTTGTATGTATAACATACATGAAGTGAGCATCACACTTTTTGGTGTACAATTCTGAGTTTTAACGTGTTGATGTGGCTCTTGACTTGAATACAGAAAGAAAAGCACCAGAATTGGACCAAAGTCTTTCACTGAGCCCCAGCAGTGTGTTCTCTCTATGAGAGCAGGCACAGATATCTTCCTGATCCTAGAACAGAGTCTGACACAACATCCACTCAGCCACATAGTTTTCTACATAGTTTTATTTTATTTTATTTTATTTTATTTTATTGATCTTTTTGAGACAGAGTCTCCCTGTAGCCCCAGCTGTCCTGGAACTCACTATGTAGACCAGGCTGGCCTTGAACTCACAGAGATCTGTCTGCCTCTGCCTCCCGAGTGCTGGGATTAAAGGCATGCACCACCACGCCTGGCACATAGTCTTATTTTATAAAGAGAATATAGATAAATTTATTACTGCCTGCCTTTCTGCATCTGTAAAATGGGAATAAATATTGTCAGTCCATGTAGGGCTCATGTAAAAGTTAATCTTGTGTGCATAAGAGCATATAAAAGGGAGATAGCTCAGTAGGTAAAGTGTTTTTTTTGCCCCATGAGTTTAAGGATCTGAGTTTGAATCTCTAGCACCCATCTCTAGCACCAAGCTGGGCATAATAGTGTGCACTTGTAATCCTGGTACTAGAAAGGTAGAAAGGGGGATTCTTGGGGCTTGCTGACAAGCCAGTCTAGCCAAACCAATAAGCTCCAGGTTCAGTGAGAGACCTTGTCTCAACAAATAAGGTGGAGAGAAATTGAGAAAGACACTTGATGTCAACCTCTAGCCTCCACATTCATCCATTCACACATGTGTGCATAAACATGTATCATACACACACATACACACACACTATAAGGTTCATAGGAATACACAGGAACATGGGCTTCATGGCAGGAAAGACATGGTGTCAGGAGCAGGAGGTAGACAGTCACATTTAATCCAGAGTCAGGAAGCAGATAACAGTGAATACTTATGCTCAGCTCACTTTCTTTTTTTAATTTGGTCCAAAACCCCAGTTTATGGAACGGTACCACCCACATTTAGGGTGAATCTTCCCATCTTAATTAACCTAAGCTAGATAATCCCTCAGGAGCATTCCCCTCAAAATTGTCTCTTTGGTACTTCTAGACTCTGTCAAGTTGACAATCAATACTCATATCTTATATTAAAACAATTTTACCTTTCAGACAGAAGTTACCCTAAATCCATCGTTTGAATGTCACCTTCAAATTTTAATCTTACCTGCCCACCAATGCTATTTTTCTATAAAATATCTACTTTAAAATATATATATATATATATATATGGTTTTGGGAGCTGGAGAGATGGCTCAGTGGCTAACAACACTGGTTGTTCTTGCAGAAGACCCAGGTTCAAATCCCAGCACCCATATGGCAGCTAACAACTGTCTGTAGTTCCAGTCCCAGGAGACCCGAGAGCCTCTTCTGACCTCCACAGGCATTGCCCGACACAGGTGTACTTATCTGTATGCAGGCAATACACGCAAACACATAAAATTAAAAAAATAAAATGTTTTTTAAGTAAAAAAATAGTTTTGTCCGTGAACTATTGTGATGATATAATTTTGTATGGTAGTGCTGTCTTTCTGAAACACATATTGCAAAATGCACAACTTCCAACATTTGTCATGCTTTCTGATCCCTGAGCCATCTAAATCATTATTTCCCCCACACGCGGCAGCATCTGGTGCCTCTCCACCCTCCCCCAAATAAAGTTAATTCTGGATTTTTGTATACTCGCTTCTACTCTGCTCATCCAAAACTCATTTAGGTTTCTAAAGGTTGTGTTGGGTTGTTATTTTTATTATTTTTAAGTCTATAAATCATAGACCATTAAACATCTTATAAAAATTTAGTATATCTAGCTCAGATAGTCCCAAACTTTAATGCTATAAAACAGAATTCTGCATATAGCTACTAGTGACAAGGACTGATTTTCAAGGATAAAACTGAGCATGTGAATTTTGCCTCCCCTACTAACTTTAGACTGGAATGATTATAGCACCAAGAATGTTGTGGGACTTAAGTTATCGTTAATATTGTATTAGATCCCACCCCTAATAGACATTACCTTCCCATTTCAAAGCTCTACATCTACTCAGATGTTCTAGAAAATTCCTGTTCTCAGTCTACGTGATGCCTCTGGCAGTTCTTGTTCATTAGCAGAACAGACATGACCTAAATGTTTAAGCTCTGATGAATGATTTCCCAGGTCCTAGGTGCTATTAACTCCCACATCCCAAAGTTCTCCAATTGTTCATTGGTTCATTCTATTTATTCTTTTTTCAAATGAGAAAACGTATAGAAATGCAGTTTGGGACTTTATTTTTCTACTTTCATTTATTTTTTTTTTGTTTAGTTTTGTTTTGAGACAGGTCTCATATATTCCAGACTGGACTTGAACTCCATATGTAGCAAGTGATGACCTTGAATTCCTAGTCCTCCTGCCTCTACCACCTTATGCTAGGATTACAGGCATTCACCAACACCCCCATTTTTTTCACAGTCCTAGGAATCAAACCCAGGGCTCTGTGCATGCTAAGCAAGCATTCTCCCAACTGATCTATATTCCCATAATTTTTAAATGTTTCAGCTGTGAGCAATATTGTGGTGAAATTCTGTGGATGAGTTGGGATGATAGGTTTACCACACGAGTCTTCTCACTTTCAGGGCCTTAAAAACGTTTTAAATAACAACTAAAATTTTTTTCAGTACTTACAGAGATACTAGTTGGTATGTGTGAGTATGCTTGTGTCTGTGTCTGAGTGTCTGTATATATTAACCTCAAATAGATTATTCTGTGATCATAAAAGCCTAAGAAATTTAGGGCTAGAGAGATGGCTCAGCAGTTAAGAGCAGCACTTGGTGGTGGTGTAGAGGACCCAGGTTCAGTTCCCAGTACCCATATGGCAGATCACAACTGTTTGTAACTCCAGTTCCAGGAGATCAGTGCTCCCTTCTGGCCTCTGAGGATACCAGTCATGCACATGATATACTTGCATACATGTGGGCAAAATATTTATACATTTAAAAAACAGAAAATTTTAAAATCATTTGTAAAAAAAATTTTTTTAATCATTCTTAAGGAAAAATCAAAAGAACTTTTGCTCTTTTTGTAGGACATTCACAGGATGAAGATTTCTTGGAATACCACACACAGAATGACCACTATCCCCGAAAAATTGGCAAAATGGAAACATGGCTCCGAGAACAAGAAGCCCAAGGACAGCTTCTCTGGGATAGCTCTAGCTCTGATTCAGATGAGCTTGAGAAAGAGAAGAGACCACGAGCACTGGTGAGAACCAGGACAGAGAGAATCCCACTTTATGATGAGTTCTTTGACAGAGAATAGGAATGCTATACTCTGTCTCAGATAGCAAGAGCACTGAAAGCTTTGCTTTTCCATCAAAACCCTTCATGTTTGCATATGAACTGCTCTAAGGGAAACAGTTCACTTCAGTTCATAGAAAGGATGTCAACTGGAGTCTTTTGGTTAACAGATTTATCATTTGTGGTCTAAAACTACCTGTGTTAAAGCTGAAGGGCTGAAACAAAGACCGTCTTCTTCTCTCACTTTTCTGTGGGTGGCTGGGCTCAGCAAGGTGGGTCTTTTGCTGGCATCTTAGTTCTCTCAATAGCTCATGTAGTTTGAAATCAGACAGCAGTTAAGACTGCAGCCACACACAGGTGTACCTAGGACACTTGGACATCTGAAATTTATACACTCTTCATCCAGTCTCAGTCTCTTTAGACTGTGAAACAAGGTAGGAAAATTTCCTTCAAATCAGTCCAAGGCTTCTAACAGCAAATATCCCAGCAGAAGGAAACAGAAACAGCAAGTTTCCAATCATTGAACCTACCCTATACCACTTCCACTACATCCTGTTCGTTAGTACAAGTTATAGGCCAAATACTAGCCAGTGGAAAGAGTCCACATAGTCAGGCGTGGTAGGCCACACCTTTAATCTCAGCACTTGGGAGGCAGAGGCAGGCAGATCTCTGTGAGTTCAAGGTCAGCCTGGTCTACATAGTGAGCTCCAAAGCTGGGGCTACACACAGTCCACACAAAGGCATGGGCACCAAGTGTCCATCTTGGAGACTTGTCACCACATGCTTTAAAAAGTTTGGCACTGTTAGAGGAGTGGAGATACTGGACAGCCTTTTCTGGTTCCTGATTTCAATGGGAATGCTTCCAGTTTTTCTCCATTTAGAATGATGTTGGCTATGGGTTTGTTATATATGGCTTTAGTTATGTTGAGACATGTTCCCTCCAGGCCAGTTCCCTCTAGGACCTTGACCATAAATGCATGTTGAATTTTGTCAAAGGCCTTATCTGCATCTATTGGGATGACCATGTGGTTCTTGTCTTTGAGCCCATTTTATGATGTTTATTGACTTACATATATTGAACCATCCCTTCACCTCTGGAATAAAGCCAACTTGATGATAGTGAATGATTTTTCAATGTGTGTCTGTATGTGGTTTGCAAGTATTTTGTTGAGAATTTTTGCATCGATGTTCATTAAGGATATGGATATAGTTTTCTTTTTTGGTTATGACATTACATGGCTTTGTTATTAGAGCAATGCTGGCTTCATAGAAGGAATTTGGAAGGTCTCCCTCCATTTCTAACTTTTTGAATAAATTAAGTAGCATTGGATGTAGATCCTCTTTAAAAGGCTGGTAGAATTCTGCTGTAAATCCATCTGGTCCTGGGCTTTTTATAGTCAGGAGGTTTTGTATTACTATTTCAATTTCCTTATGTGTTATGGTCTGTTTAAACTCTTGCAAGAGCAATAAAACAAGAGAAGGAAATTAAAGGAGTAATAATTGGAAAAGAAGAGATAAAATTATCCCTTTTTGCAGATGATATCATATTATATCTAAGAGATGCCAAAAATTCCACCAGAAAACTCCTAGAAATTCTTAACACTTAATACTTTCAGTAAAGTGGCAGGATACAAAATCAACTTACAAAAATCAGTAGCCTTTCTATATATCAATAACAAGCAAAAAGAAATAGTACATGGAAACACTCCCCTTCACAATAAAAAATAATAAAATATTTTTAAAAAATAAAATATCTCAGAATAAACCTGACCAAAAGACATTAACGAACTCTACAATGAAAATTTTAAATCTTTAATGAAAGAGGTTGAGGAAGACATCAGAAGTTGGAAGCGCCCATGCTCATGGATCAGAAGAATTAATATTGTGAAAATGACCATCCTACCAAAAGCCATTTATAGATTCAATGCAATGCCAATCAAAATCCCCATGACATTTTTCACAGAATTGGAAAAAAAATCCTAAGATTCATAGGGAAGCACAAAAGATCTTGGATAGCCAAAGAAACCCTGAGCACTAAGAGCAATGCTAGGGGGATTACTATACCAGATATTAAACTGTATTACAGAGCTATAGTCATAAAAAAATTATACTGGCACAAAAATAGACCCATAGATCAATGGAACAAAATTGAAGACCCAAATATGACTACATGCAATTTCAGCCACCTGATGATTGACAAAGGGGCCAAGAACATTCACTGGAGGAAAGACAGCATGTTCAGCAAATGGTGATGGCAAAACTGGATCTCCACCTGTAGAAGAATGAAACTGAACACCTATCTTTCACCTTGCACAAAAGTCAGCTCCAAATGGATAAAAGACCTCAATGTTAAGAACTGAAACTCTGAAACTCTTGGAAAACATTGGCAATAGCCTACAAGATATAGGTGTAGGAAAAGATTTTCTAAATTGGACATCAATTGCCCAGGAAACAAGGTCAAGAATCAACAAATGGGACCTCATTAAACTAAAAAGCTTCTGTACATCAAAAGAAGCAACTAAGGAAGTGAAGAGAAAACCCACAGAATGGGAGAAAATCTTCACTAGTAACACATCTGACAGAGGTTTAACATCCATAATATATAAGGAACTCAAAAAACAAAGAATCAAGAAAGGATGTAACCCAATTAAAAGATGGGCTAAGGAATGGAACAGAGAGTTCGCAAAAGAAGAAGTAAAGATGGCTATGAAGCATCTTAA